TATCCTTTATGTACTCACTGGCTTCATCAGCTTACTGCTTAGCCAATCATGGCAATTATGTTGTTTCCTTTGTCTATTATGTTGTTTCATTGTTATATACAGTATATATATGCAGCTCCTACACTTCATGTATCACTCTTGCTTGACAACGGTACAAGAATCTGTATCGAAACGTCGCACTCACGAAAATAAAGAAGTTGTTATCCATAAAACTTGTTATATGTTGTACGTCTCAACTTCTAAAATGCCACTCAAACAAGTCACTTACAGTGTGTTGACAATACAGTGTGTTGACAATACACGTAGTACCCCACGTACAGGGTGTAGACAATACACCTAGTCTCCCACTTACAGTGTGTAGACAATACACGTAGTCCCCCACTTACAGTCTGTTGTGATAACACAGGTAGTCCCCACTTACGGTGTGTTGCGATAACACAGGTAGTCCCCCACTTACAGTGTGTTGTGATAACACAGGTTGTCCCCACTTACAGTGTGGTGTGATAACAGAGGTAGTCGCCCACTTACAGTGTGTTGTCATAACACAGGTAGTCCCCCACTTACAGTGTGTTTTGATAACACAGGTTGTCTCCTGCTTACAGTGTGTTCTGATAACACAGGTAGTCCCGCCTCTTACAGTGTGTTGGGATAACACAGGTAGTTCCCCACTTACAGTGTGTTGGGATAACACAGGTAGTTCCCCACTTACAGTGTGTTGGGATAACACAGGGAGTCCCGCCTCTTACAGTGTGTTGGGATAACACAGGTAGTCCCCACTTACAGTGTGTTGTGATAACAAAGGTAGTCCCCACATACAGTGTGTTGCGATAACTCAGGTAGTCCCCGGTTAGAATGTGTTGTGGAAATACAACCAGTCCCATCATACAGTGTGTTGCGATAACACAGGTAGTCCCCACATAGTGTGTGTCGTGATAACAGAGTTATTCTCCCGACGTACAATGTATATCCCACTTACAGTGTGTAATGCTTATAGAGTTAGTCCCCACTTACAAAGTGTCATGATTACAGACTTAATCCCCAACTTACACTGTGTCGTGATAGCACTGGCAATCCCCACTGAAAATGTGTCGTGATAGCACAAGTAGTTCCCCACTTACAGTGTGTTGCGATAACACAGGTAGTCCCCCCACGTACAGTGTGTTGCGATAACACAGGTAGTCCCCCCACGTACAGTGTGTCGTGAAAACAGAGCTAGTCCCCCCACGTACAATGTGTATCCCACTTACAGTGTGTAATGCTAAGATAGTTAGTCCCCACTTACAATGTCTCATGATTACAGACTTAGTCCCCAACTTACACTGTGTCGTGATAGCACTGGCAATCCCCATTGAAAATGTGTCGTGATAACACAGGTAGTCCAGCACTTAAAATGGGTATTCATAACACAGAGAGCCCCAATACTAGAGTTAGTCCCCCACTTACAACGTGTAGTACTAACAGAGTTAGTCCTCACTTACACCGTGTAGTAATAAGAGAGTGATTCCCCACTCACGATGTGTAGTAATAACAGAGTTAGTCCACACTTATAATGTGCAGTAATAACAGAGTTAGTCCACACTTATAATGTGTAGTAATTAGAGAGTGACTCCCCACTCACAATATGCAGTAATAACCGAGTTAGTCCCCAATCACGATGTGTAGTAATAACATAGTCAGTCCACACTTACAATGTGTAGTAATAACAGAGTTAATCCTCACTTACAACGTGCAGTAATAACATAATAAGTGCCCCACTTACAGTGTGTAGTAATAAAAAAGGTAGTCCTCACTTACAACGTGCAGTAACAACATAGTTAGTCCTCACTTACAATGTGAAGAAATAACATAGTTAGTGCCCCACTTACAATGTGCAGTAATAACAGAGTTAGTCCCCCACTTACAATGTGTAGTAATAACCGAGTTAGTCCTCACTTCTAATGTGTAGTAATAACAGAGTTAGTCCTCACTTACAATTTGTAGTAATAACATAGTTAGGCCCCAACTTACAATGTGTAGTAATAACAGAGTTAATCCTCACTTACAACGTGCAGTAATAACATAGTCCTCACTTACAATGTGCAGTAATAACATAGTTAGTGCCCCACTTACAATGTGCAGTAATAACAGAGTTAGTCTACACGTACAATGTGCAGTAATAATATAGTTAGTCCTCACTTACAATGTGGAGTAATGACATAGTTGATTCCCCACTTACAATGTCCATTAATAACAGAGTTAGTCCTCAGTTACAATGTGCAGTAATAATATAGTTAGTCCTCACTTACAATGTGTTAGAGTTAGTCCCCCACTCACAACGTGTAGTAATCACAGGGTTAGTCCTCACTTACAGTGTGTAGTAATAACAGAGTTAGTCCCCACTTACAATGTGTAGTAATAACAGAGTTAGTCCTCACTTACAATGTGTAGTAATAACAGAGTTAGTCCTCGCTTATAATGTGTAGTAATAACAGAGTTAGTCCTCACTTACAATTTGTAGTAATCACAGGGTTAGTCAACACTCACAATGTGTAGTTATAACAGAGTTAGTCCTCTCTTACAATGTGCAGTAATAACATAGTTAGTCCTCACTTACAGTGTGTAGTAATAACAGAGTGGTTTTTAAAAATATTTTTATTCATTTCAGTGAAGCATACAATATGGCATATGAATATAATTTGATGAAACAGTAAACAAGCATGACAATATGCATCGAGTACTAAGAAGGTGTAATCGCGAACCCGACACATGTTACATTTGATTTTCATAAAGTGTAATCATACAAAAAGTAATATAGTGAAATATCCATATTGACATAGCAAACATTTTGGTCTAACCAAAACAATACAATAAATAGCGCATGATACACTTATAGAAAAAAGTATTGTAGTTTGGGGATATTATTTCAGTTCCTTCTATGGTAAATATGGTACAGTGAAATAACAATGTTGGCATAGCACACATTATAGCCAAGTATAATAGATATATCAGCGTAAAGCACTTTTATAGTAGGTAGTGCATCGTACATTTATAAGAGAAAAATACAGTAAGGCAAAGGATATTGTATCAGTTCCTTGTGGAAGCAAGAATTATAGTTTGAGGATACTATTTCAGTTCCTTCTATGGTACAAAGATGGTACAAAGAAATAACAATGTTGACATAGCAAACCTTATAACCAAGCACAATAGGTACAGTAGCATAGTGCACTTTTATAGTAGGTAATGCATCGTAAATTTATAAGAGAGAATACAGTGAGGAAAGGGATATTGTTTCAATTCCTTGGGCTATTACCGCCATGTTGTTATTTTTCTAATGTATGATGAAGTAACAGCATTTGCATAGCAAATAGTATAGTCTGGTATGCCAGGTAAGGATAATAGTACTTCGTACACACACAAAATAAAGTAGAGTCAGGCTACACATATATATTGGTACTACAGTTTCAATTCCTTGGGCCACTTTCTCTGGAACTTTGCCATGTTGTTATTTTTTCTGGCTATATATCTTTCAATTGATAGAAGACGTTTTAGTGAATTTAGAAATTTGTCCAAAGTCGGTTTTCTACTATTTATACTGGCTAGGTATATGAACCTTTTTCTAGCAAGAATAATGTTTATCAATAAAAAGGTAGCCAGTGTTAGTCCCCAATAATATTGTAAATTTCGTAAATATGATATTCATATTAACAGTATTTTTAATATATATACTTAAGTCATTCCAGAAAGTCTGAACAATATCACATAAACCATACACATGTACAATGTCTTCAGATTCTTTTTTACAGAATGTACAGCTATCATTATCTATTATTTTCATCTTTACTAATTCTTTTCTTGTATAAATAACTTATGAAATGAATCTGTACTCAAAATCTAAGAGTTTAATATCATTTGTACACTTTCTATAATTTAAGAAAATAGCGTCCCAAGGTATAGCAATGTTTATCAAAACTTCCCATTTTCTGCAAACATCAGGCAATCTATCTGATTTGATCAATTTGTCATAAAATGTTCTACAGCCTTTAGAAGGTGTAAGCAGAGTTATTATCGCTTCATTAATACCAAGATTTTGATTTTCCAGTTTATGGTTATTTATTGTGGCTTTCCAAGTAATGGGAATATTACTCAAAACTCAAAGGATAATAGCCCATCAGAGTTACATATATCTTTTATCTCAGTTACACCCTTATTGAACCAATTACAAATAAAAAGAGAAGGGTTTGCAAAATGATGATTTAGCCACAACAGTTCATGAAGTATTTTCTGATAGTCGAATTGGTCAATTCTAAAGGAAGATCTGTACCTCTTCCATGCATGAAAAACCTCCTTCCAGTAAAGGTTATCAAGTTCCTTAGATAGATCAATATTAGCTCCTAATTGGAATAATGGTATAATGGGAACATTGCATGGAGCTCTACAAAGGCATCTTTTCAATGCTGCTATTATAAGTGAGTCGATGAAAGAAAGGATATCTGTCATCCTAATTCCCCCCTCCCGGTGGTCCTTTTTCAATGTTACTCTTTTTATTTTGTCAGGTTTCCCATTCCACAGAAAAGAAAAAAACATTTGCTCTACGTCTTTAATAAAAGCTTTTGGTGGATTAGGTAGAGCTGTAAATATATGAACTAGTAATAACACTTACAACGTGCAGTAATAACATAGTTAGTCCTCACTTACAATGTGCAGTAATAACATAGTTAGTGTCCCACTTACAATGTGCAGTAATAACATAGTTAGTCCCCCACTTACAATGAGTAGTAATAACACAGTTAGTCCTCACTTACAATGTGTAGCAATAACAGAGTTAGTCCTCACTTACAATATCTAGCAATAAAAGAGTTAGTCCTCACTTACAATGTGTAGTAATAACAGAGTTAGTCCTCACTTACAATGTGCAGTAATAACAGAGTTAGTCCCCACTCACAATGTGTAGTGATAACAGAGTTAGTCCCCCACTTACAATGTGTAGTAATAACATAGTCAGTCCACACTTACAATGTGTAGTAATAACAGAGTTATTCCCCCACTTACAATGTGTAGTAATAACAGAGTTAGTCCCCTACTTACAATTTGTAGTAATAACAGAGTTAGTCCCCCACTTTCAATGTGTAGCAATAACACAGCTAGTCTCCACTTACACCGTGTAGTGATAACACAGATAGTTCCTCACTTTCAATGTATAGTAATAACAGAGTTATTCCCCACTTACAGTGTGTAGTGTTCACAGAGTCAGTCCCCACTTACAATGTGTAATAATAACAGAGTTAGTCCCCACTTAAGCTGTGTAGTAATAACAGAGTTAGTGCCCACTTACAATGTGTAGTAATAACAGAGTTAATCCCCACTTAATCCATCGTGTATTGCTCGCTTCATTGACTGAAAAAAATTTGATGTCTGAAGTCGAAAAATACTTTTATTGTTAATATGCTCAAACCGATATGTTTCATCACAGGGTAAAAGAAGTCAACAATGTTTATGACCTGCATTTAAAGACAAACACCAATTTAACAGCTTCTGTATAACAACCAAGTTCTCTCTCACATCTGGAGTATGGTTTAAGTCGGTTTATAAAACAAATCACTTTTGTTGGTCAAAAGTTTCAGTATAATACGTGATGGGTTATAAATGCACATTCACGGGAGATTGAACTGTCTTACTGGAATTTGTAAAAACAAAACATGCTGCTATGAGATGATACGTCAATACTATATGGTTATTTTTTATAACATCATTCGAGACATTTAAGAGCATTTGTTTGCTCAAAACGTTTTACATGGTATGAGTGAATAAGTGAGTTTACTTTTACGCCGCTTTCAGTAATATTCAAGCAATAACACGACGGGGGACACCAGTAATGGGTTTCCCACTATGTATCAATGTAGTGAATCGATGCGGGTCTTCAGCGGGACGAGCGAACGGTTTAACCGCAAGACTACCCAACCGTCCCTTTGTCATGGGGATAATCATATAATCGACGGAAAACATAAAATTCAAATTATATATACATTTCATATATTCATTGAATGGCATGGTACAAGAATCAGCATATCAGTATGAGTCTACATCGGGATTAAGGTAACAGTTACTGTGTTATTATACTCTCCATCAAAATGTTAGACTCACTGGTGTACATGTAGCCACTTACTTCAGGCAACTGTTTTTAAACTACATTTTGCAAAATATTCCATACTGTTTAATGTGCTGTTTATAAATGAACTGATGTATTGTAAAACAAATTCATGACGCTGAAAAGATTATTGTCATGCGTTCAATAAATGATGAAACTCCGTTAAAAATGGCGAATTCTTATCGGAACTTTACACCAAAATGTAGCTGTTCACATGCACGATATTTGAATATACTTTTTAGCAGTTTAATGCATGATCCTCGTGCAATTAATCTGCAAAACGTTTGCACTTGTTTCCCCCAAGTTAGTGGAGAAATTCTTCTTCGTTGTGACCATATATACATACATAACATATAGTGAATGTTTTAAGTGAGTCTAAACTTTTGATGGGTAGTATATTTGGGTATTGTATTGTTCCCGAGGGCTAGCGGCTTAGAAACTTCATTTGGTGGGGTCAGGCAGCTTCTTGTGCGGGCGGGTTCACTTCACCTTGTGGGGGTGGGTATGCTGCATTTTGTGGGGGCGGGTACGTTCCCTGCCTCTCTGGGGGGTCGGTTGCTTGAGTGTAGGCTGGAGCCGGGGGGTATGCTGCTGGAGTCGGAGGGTATGCTACTGGCGCCGGACCATATCCAGGAGTGTAGGCTGCGTTTGTTGTGCCTGAAAAGGACATGAGGAAATGAGTGATATAGCAATATTCCAGCAATATCACGGCAGGAACCCCCAGAATTTAGCTTCACACATTGTACCCATTTGGGGAATCGAACCCGGGTCTTCGGCGTGACGAGCGAACGCTTTAACCACTAGGCTACCCCACAGCCCCCTTGAACAGGATAACTACGTGCAGACCAGTCAAGCTAAACTAACAACTAGTCTCTGAAATGAACATATTTTACAGAAAAAAGCTCATAGTGAAATAAAAAATATATATAATGAAAAGGAGCCCTGAGACTTTCTTCATTTTCAGCCTGAAGCTGTGGAAATCTAGACTTGCCACATTTTCTAGACTTACGTGGGATTTCTTGGCTATATTTGCTTCAGGGTCTGTATGACAGACTACAATCAAGCTAACATGAAAATGTCGTTTTATACCTTTGGATAGCAAGGTACACTTCTTCTACAAGGAGAGATCCTAGATTAGCCGATAAAGGTATAACTAACTCCATTAGCGCACAATGTCACGCATGCGCAATGCGATCAAGCTGCCAGTACACGTGATTATTGAACTGAGGACACGTGATATATATCCGCAGGGCAGGATCTAACACAATCAGCCAGCTGACGGGCGATAGTCTCACTTAAACCACAAGGGAAAGCTATGTCCATTGTTCCTGGAAGGGTTTTATTAGCATAAATGAATAACTGTTAGGGCAATTATTTCTATTTAAAAACAATAAATTTGTACTCATTTTGATAATCTTCATCAGGCCCTCGTGGTGTAAGTCGTGTAATCACCCTCACTAAGGTAGTTATGGAGATTAACCTACACACAATGCCACCAGAACACGATTCCATATGCTATGATGCGTAACTCATGGTCATCACGTAATATACCAATACATTTTTAAAATTCATGTTTAGACATTGAGCGATGTCGGGTATTTCCGAACAGCTAACACCATACCACGCCTAATTCCTGTTGTGTTTTATTATATATATATGAAGCAAAAGGTAATACTAACAAAGAACCGCTCAGTGGGAATCATATTCACGCACAAAGGCAAGGAAATCCTGTCCACCAATCCTGTTGCTGATAAATAACATCAAATTTTTTTAACACTTTCCGATGCGTCGAACACCCTTGACGGCTCCGTTCACAACTTCTTCAGACCTATCGCTGTGTGGAGCTTCTTCAGTGACATACAAAACACAAATATTTCGCAAGCGGGTGGTCAGGCTCGTTGACTTGGTAGACTCATATCATCGGATCCTAATTGTGTAGATCGGTGCTCATGCTATTGATCACGGGATTGTCTGGTGCAGACCCGATTATTTACAGACCGTCACCATATAACTGGAATATTGCTGAGGGCGGCGTAAAACCAAACTCACTCACTCACCTACATGTGACTGATTGCTTACCTGACACTGCAGTCAGTTGATGTTGATTTGGCATCACTTGACCTCGTTGTCCTGGCGATGACTTACAGCAGCAGAAACAACAGATGATGACTCCGACGATCAGACCGATGAGGCAGAGGACTCCAATGACGATGCCGATAATAGCTCCTATGGTCAAGCAGTAGGCGTAGTGGTAGGTGGTGCTGAAACAGTGATATGATTCCAGTGTGGTAAATAGAGAATCTCACCAATGTGTCTTCAGATATCAAATATATCAACACGAGTTGATTAAAGTTACAAATATTCGAGGCTTACCTAGGCTATTTTTGCTTTAATCAACGAATGTTGTGATGTCATCACCTTTGTGACGTCATAGCATTGTCACTTGTGTTCTGGGGCGGTTGGGTAGCCTAATGGTTAAAGCGTTGGCTCGTCACGCCGAAGACCAGGGTTCGATTCCCCACATGGGCACAATGTGTGAAGCCCATTTCTGGTGTCCCCGCCGTGATGTTGCTGGAATGCTGCTAAAAGCGGCGTAAAACCAAACTCAGTCAGTCAGTCAGTCAGTTGTGTTCTTAGTGATGTCAAAGCATTGAGAGATCATTTTACTGATGATCTAACAGCATTATGACAATTCAATTGTTGCGACATCTACAATATCTAAACTTGATCACACACAAGCGATATCTACTGTTGGGGCCAGTTTTGGAAGATAAAGGAACTATCAACCAACTACAAGTATCGACCTTAACATAAACACAACCACATTGCTGATTATTGAGGGGCGGATGGGTAGCCTAATGGTTAAAGCGTTCGCTCGTTATGCTAAAGTCCCGGGTTCTATTCCCAACATGGGTACAATGTGTGAAGGCCATTTACGATAAAAACTAAACTCAGTCACTGTTTCTTGAACTACAGCTCAATAATAATGAGTGTGTTAAATCCCCTGAAAGTGCTTATTTACAATTAACTTGTATTTGATGCTACATGCTTGTATCTATGATAATCATAATATATATTGTGTATGTATGGTAAGTTGGTAACGCCTGATACTTTTGCTGTGTGTCACAATCTCCAATACTGGAATCAAATAGTAAATCGCTTTGATTTAGCGTTGGTTTCTGCACGTGTTACAAGTTTACCCCTTTCCCTGTTCTACCTATTTACTGAATTGACACAGACAAACCATTTGATCAACTGACCCAGGATTTCGATGGTATACCTCAATGGCATCAGGGTTAGCCTAATGGTTAAAGCGTTCGCTCGTCACGTCAACGACCCGGGTTCGATTCTCACATGGGTACAATGTGTGAAGCCAGTTTGTGGTGTACCCCGCCGTGATGTTGCTTGAATATTGCTAAAAGCGGTATAAAACTAAACTCACTTATTTTACGACAGCAAGTTCTTTATACATGAGGCTGACTCTCATTACAAAAAAATTAACAGCAATACGTATTGGTAGAGTGGACTTCAGTCAAGTCAATCTTAATGTTCAAGAAATAAAACTTTAACGGTTATTTTCAATAAATAATACTTAAACGAGTTTCGAATCTACACAGAAAACCGCTTGACCAGAGCATAGCAACAGCTCAGCGTCTAAACGATGGTAACAATGCAGTTCGTGTAAAAGTTGATCTACGCATTTCATGTTCGTCGCCTGCATCAAATAATACAAGCACCTCTGTCGAAGAATTGCCAGATCTCGTGATCTCAGTTATGACATTTTTATGTTTATGCCACACAACCCTATCTTGGGTGCGCACGCACGCACGCACGCACGCACCCACACACACACAAACACACGAGCACACATGCATACATACATACGCACGCACGCATGCATGCATACATACACACACATATACTCTCCCAAAAATGAAACGCATATAGGAATTTCAACTGTATGTTTATGTTTATTTTGAAACATCTTGTAGGCTTTATGAGTCAATGAAATATAGCGAAATTGCACACTGGGAATGCAGACTTATCCGTCTTTGGCACCAACTCGAGGAAAGTCAGTTTGAGTGTCACATGGAGACGTGTGGTGGAGTAGTATACAGAATGGGGATTCTGTTACAGGCCAGCTAAGAGCGCCATTATATGCCAATTCTGCTTCCAGCCCCAAGTATAAATTAACGATTTCGAGCAGAGACATCATTCGATGCACAGCCCAGACCTGCGCCTTAGAAACTCCCCCCAGGGGTGGGGTTCTGTTACAGGCCAACTAAGAGCGCCATTATATGTCAATTCCGCTCCCAGCCCCAAGTATAAATTAACGATTTCGAGCAGAGACATCATTCGATGCACAGCCCAGACCCCCGACATGCGCCTTAGAAACTCCCCAAGTGGGGTTTGTGGTTCTGTTACAAGCCAACTAAGAGCGCCATTATATGCCAATTCTGCTTCCAGCCCCAAGTATAAATTAACGATTTCGAGCAGAGACATCATTCGATGCACAGCCCAGACCTGCGCCTTAGAAACTCCCCCCAGGGGTGGGTTCTGTTACAGGCCAACTAAGAGCGCCATTATATGTCAATTCCTCTCCCAGCCACAAGTATAAATTAACAATTTCGAGCAGAGACATCATTCGATGCACAGCCCAGACCCCCGACATGCGCCTTAGAAACTCCCCAAGTGGGGTTTGTGGTTCTGTTACAGGCCAACTAAGAGCGCCATTATATGCCAATTCTGCTTCCAGCCTCAAGTATAAATTAACGATTTCGAGCAGAGACATCATTCGATGCACAGCCCAGACCTGCGCCTTAGAAACTCCCCCCAGGGGTGGGTTCTGTTACAGGCCAACTAAGAGCGCCATTATATGTCAATTCCTCTCCCAGCCCCAAGTATAAATTAACGATTTCGAGCAGAGACATCATTCGATGCACAGCCCAGACCCCCGACATGCGCCTTAGAAACTCCCCAAGTGGGGTTTGTGGTTCTGTTACAGGCCAACTAAGAGCGCCATTATATGCCAATTCTGCTTCCAGCCTCAAGTATAAATTAACGATTTCGAGCAGAGACATCATTCGATGTACAGCCCAGACATGCACCTTAGTAACTCCCTCAGGGGGGTTTGTGGTTTTGTTACATGCCAACTAAGAGCGCTATTATATGCCAAGTAAAAATTAACGATTTCGTCCCTCAATGTATAGCCACCTGGCGGGTCCCAGAAACTCCCACCAAGTGGTTTATGAGCATGTGACCGTACGCGTAAGTCGTGACACCGTCAGCGGCGATCCACCGTTTGGTGTCCAAGGGCGACAGCGATGTCTTATTGTTTGTCGCTAAGCATTGCTAAGCATTGCTAAGCATTGCTTAGCATTTGCTAAGCATTGCTAAGCATTGCTAAGCATTGCTAGGAGTTTTCTGGGAGGGGATTGGGGGATTCCTGGGATGATTGGGATTCCTGGGAGAGGATTGGGATTCCTGGGAGAAGATTGGGATTCCCATATAAGCATATAGGAAGTATGGGTATA